ACCTCAGAATATTTTAGCCTCCTAGAAACTCAGTTTCACATCATTTCCTTTTACTCTTTCTCTTCCACATGTCCTATCACCTGCAAATCACATCATTTCTATTTCCACAACATCTTCACATATGTCCCTTTCTCATTACTCTTACAACCACAACATTACTTCAGTTCTTTATCACCTCTTGGCTGGACTATTGCAGTAGTTAATTGATTTTTTTTTCTTTCCAGTCTCTTCCCAATACACAGAGCTGCCAAAGGCATTCTCTTTAAGCATAGGTCTGACCATGTTATTCCCTTCCAGTGGCTCCCTGTTGCCCCTTGGATAAACTCCTCCATTTGGCACATAAAGTCTTTTATAACCATATATACCTTTATATCTTTATATATCTTTCTATCTCTATTATACATCGCTCTCCAGGTACTCTGTGGTCCTGAATGTGGATAGATCTCAATCCTGGAGTCAGGAAGATTCCTCTTCCTGAGTTCAAATCTGGCCTCAGACACATATTAGCTGTGTGACTCTGGGCAAGTCACTTCTTCCTGTTTGCCTCAGCTTCCTCATCTGTGAAATGAGCTGGAGAAGGAAATGGCAAACTACTCTCCTATCTTTGCTGAGAAAACCCCAAATGGGGTCACAAAGAATCAGACACCACTGAAGCAATGAAACAACAGCCAGAATAAATCCCACACATAATTTCTGGATAATTTTTTTGATTGATTTTTTTCAGTTATCAAAACACGTCTTTTTTTTTCTCTCCTGCCCCTGTCCCCACTGGGAGAAAAGAGACAAAAATGAAATCTTTGTAACAAATAAGCAAAATAAGAACATTTCATATATATGTACCTCATTCCACATATTTAGTCCATCTCCTTTCTGTCAGGAGCCGGACCACATTTTTCATCACTCAGTTTCTGGAAGCAAGGGTGATCATTGTGGTGATCAGAGTTTTTAAGTCTTGTTTGATTTTACAATGTTAATGCAATGATCTAAATTGTTTTCCTGGTTCTGCTTGCTTCACTGTGCACCTGATGACCCTTTTTAATGAACAGCTATGATCATGTCACTCCCCTACTAAACAATTCTAATAGCTACCCAGTACCTAGAAAATAAAGCTCTAACTCTTCACCCTGGCATCCAAGACCCTGCTTTGTCTGAATCCAGTTTATTTAGCTTGCCATTTACCACTCCCTTTCATGTCATCTATTCTCTAGCCAAACTGGACTTTTCAGCTCATGCCCCCTGTTTTCATGCTATCATTCCATGGCCCACACTGTCTCCTAACTTGGAATGTTCTCCCTCCCACTTTCGCCTATTGACATTTTACCAATACTTCAAAGTCCAGTTTAAATGCCAGTTTCTCCAAGAATCCTTCCCTGATCCCCTACCAGATAGATGTGATTTCTCCCCCTGGTAACTAATAGCATTTTGTGTCTCTTTGATATTTTATCTCTCTCTACTTTGTATTTTATTTGAGTATAAACATCCACACATATATATAAGCACATATGTACATATATGTGTATGTCTTATAATTTCCTATTATGCTATAAATTTTGGGGGGCTAGGGGTTCTGTCTTATTCATCTCTGAATCTCTTTTAACCCAGCCACAGTGACTTATATGTGGTACACACTTAATACTGGAGAAGGAAATGGCAAGCCGCTCCAGTATCCTTGACAAGAAAACCCCATGGATAGTATGGTCCATGAGGTCCTGGAGAGCTGGACACAACCAAATGACAGAATAACAACACACAATAAATTTCGATGAATAAATGAATCCAGTACAAAGTCACCTTCGAAGATTATCACTTAGATTAGAGGAAACAGGAAAATCTAAGAATGGTGGACATGAGATCAGAGATGAGGAAACAACTTGGGAAAGCACTATCAGGTCGTTTTTCTCTTCCACTTTTCTCCTCACCAAGGCATGAATACCAATTTCACCTTCCTCCAGTAGGGGGAGGGTTTTGTTCCCAGTTCACATCAAGGGGAATTTCAAGGCTGGGAAGTGACCTGCGTGCACTCTGTCTTGCTTTTCTTATGTGTTACCCCAAGACCCATTGTACCCATGTACCCATGAAGCTAGGCAAGATGTTTAATCAGCAAATAAGTACTGAAAATCCACATGCATGGCCTTGTTCTAGATTCTTCAAAAGAGGCAAAAGATGTAAAGGATATAATTTCTATTATCAAGAAGTTTCCAAACTGGGGAGTAGGAATAAGAATAAAACAGTACAAGACTGAATACAATTAAGGGCTAATGTAAAGCTTAAAGACCCAGTCTATGAAAGGTAGTGTAGTGTAGTAATAATAAATAAATAAATAAATAAATAAACAAACAAACAAACAAATAAATAAATAATGAAGACAAGAATTTACATAGTGCTTCTAAGGTTTGCAAAGTGCTTTACATATGCTAGCTAATTTATTTGAAGTCCACAAAAACCCTGTGATAGGTACTATTATTATCCCCATTTTACCAATGAGGAAACTGAGGCACAGAGGTTCAGTGGCTTGCCCAAAAGGAACCCTGCGCTTAGCATTAGATGTCTTGGCTTTGGGACTTTCTGTGTTACTGTCAAAAATTCAATTAACCTCTCTGAATCTGTTTCCTCATAAAAAAAGAGGATGATTCCCTAAGATGTTGTGATGACAGTATTTGTAAACTTCAAAGCACTATGTAAACAAGCAATTTTTTCCAGGCAGCTGTGATATGCTAGAAGAACACCAAATTTCAGATTAAAAAACAGTTTTGAATCCCAGCCCTGCCATTTACAAGCCAAGTCAACTTGAATAAGTCATACATCTTCTTAGAACCTCCATTTCATCTGTAAAATCGGGATAACAATAACGTCACTAATTCTTCATAGAGTTGTTGTGAGGTTAAAAACTTGACTTTGTAAGACATAAATCACTATGTAAATGTGACCTGCTATCGTTATTTACTATTATTCATCAAAAGAGGAAAGGATATTAGCAGAGGAGAAAGGGCGTGAAAAAAAGAGAAGGAAAGAGAGGGGCAGACAAAAATAGGAACAAACACAGTCAAAAGGCATCTACACAGTACTACTGCAATCAGTACCTCTGATTGTTCCCTTCTAATATCCAGTCTAAGAGGTTGCCTTATGTGTGCCAGGTTACCAGGGTCCCTTTGGACTTTATCTTATTCTTTCTCAGGCTCTATTCTTTTAAAGACCTTGGGATGGGAGGTCAGCTCAAAAAATGACAACAACAACTACAACAATCAACCTTCCAAAGTACTGCCACTTGTAAACACAAGACAGGAGTCCTTAGTTTCTTCTGCATTTATTTAGCCCCAGCCTCTGCTGATGTTCTTAAGGTCTAGAGCCTAGGGAAGAAAGGGGAAGTATCTCATTGAAATGGGGGGGGGGTGGAGTCTGGGTCCAGCAGGGCTCTTGGCTGCTGTTACTTTCAGGGAAAACCAACAGTGAACATAGTTTTATCTCAGTGATAACTGTGCAAATATCACCATATCACCTTTCAACCTTAAAAGCCAGGTTGGTTCTGACCCAGCTCATGTGGGCTCAAGTATTGGCCACTCTGATCTAATTTACTACCCGGATAAATAAAGGACCCTTGAGGAATTAGGTTGATCCTGGAGTGGACCTTGGAAGTTAGTTTAGCTCCAAGATGGGCTTCTTGACATCTTGTACAAATGGATCTCTTGGATGAGCCATTGAATAAGTGTTAGACTCAATTCTGTATTGACCAATTACTTCAAGACAGGAGTGATAGAGGGTGACTACCATTTGGGATTGAAAGGCACTCTCTGGACTTGAAATCTCACTATGTTTGGATTACCTTCAAATTGGCATAGGGAACCATGGAAAGTGGATTTATAAAGAGAGAAGATTCATAAAGTTTCAGGACTGCAAGGAACTTTATTCACAACTTGGTTCAATCCCCTCATTTTCTAGACCGGAACATTGAAACTAAGAGTAGCTAAATGACTTGTCCAAGGTCATAAAGCTAGTTATCGGCCGTTTCTCCCTACCTATTCTGCCTCAGTTATTTCCCAAGTTGGAATAAATGAGATCTCACTGTCCCAGAATAATTTCCTTGAATTGACTGCATTTATGTCCCTGTCTCAATTCTTTAGCCACTGAGCTCACCATGGAAAAGTTTCTAGATGCCAAGGCTTGCTGTCTGGGAGTGTGAAGGATAAAAGCATGGTGATTGGATATTAGCAAGTGATACCTGGCATTGTTCTTCAGCTTATGGTCAGAGCTCAAATGTTGCTCCTTTCCAGGGCCAAAGATCCACATTTAATTGATAGACTGGGATGTGCCAGCATGGGAGGAGTATGATTTCCCACCCTTCTTTCAAGCAACACTTTTTATTCTGCCAAGGTTCCTTTTCCTTGGTCTCACCTCTCTGGAAAGAGGGCTGTGTGTGCTAGCCTTGAATTATTATTATTATTATTATTATTATTATTATTTATTTTGAGGGTAGTGAGGTTGAGAAAAGAAGGAAAGACAAGACTTGTGTTTTTTTATTTTATTCATTTTTTTTTTTTCTGAGAATCCCCTTTTGCAGTCTGCTTTTGAGCTTTGACCTTGCTTCTCTTTCTGGGGAAGAGGGGGAGGCAAGGCTCTCTCCCTGTCGACCACCATGAGGGCAACCAAGGCCTTTTCCCCATCTAAGCACACCCTCTGGGCACACTGCCCAGCACTGCCTGCCAGCTGTCCTGGGACTCTGGCTGGGGGATTGGGGGCGGGAAGAGGAGTGTCTTAACTTCACAGTTGGCACTAGCCCTTTAAGACCAGCTCCCCTCCCCCGCCCACGCCACCCCTTTCATTCTCCTGACAGGTGTTCTCCCAACTCTGGAGGCTCAGGATTTTGGGGAGTGGCTGAGCCAATGAGGTTTTAGATTTAGGGAGGGGGAGGTGGAATGGGAGAAGGGGTGTGGCTAGCCGGGTCAGAGTAGAGGCGGGGTTTAAGCCGCCAGGCTGTGTCTGTCTCTCAGTCCCTGGTTCCGTGGAGGGTTTTTCTTTCTCGCAACAACCCCCCCCCCATACTCCCGCCCCTCGCCTCAATCCCGCTTCCATTTTTTTTTTTTTGAGTCTTGTTAATTTCTCCAAGCTGCTGTTACCGCTGCGGCCGCTGCCGCTGCCAGAGAAGGGGGAGCGCTGGAATTGACGCTCGGAGGCTTTAACTCCTACAGCCGCTGGACAAGTCTGAGAAGCCCGGAGTGAGGGTGAGCAGAGGAGAGCAGGAATCGTGGGAGACGCCAGAGGCTCCCCTCTAGCCTCCCCCGACTCACACCGGAGGTGCAGGGAGCACAAAAAGAGCAGAAAGCAGGAAATCTACCACCTTCGTGCAAGCAACTTTTTTTTCCCCCTCTCTCTTGTTATTGTTGACCAACCCGAAGGAGTGAGTGAGAAACAGAGAACGATCACAGAGGGAAATCTACTCTCAGCTGAACCTCAACTGGGACTGGGAACAGCGCTGACACACACACGCGCACCCTCATTCACCTCCATTTCTGGAATAGCCGGCGCGCATATACACACACACTCACTCACATACACTGTGCACCTTTCTTTCTCTCTTCTCGATACCCATTCGCGCCCATCCACATCCATCTGAGCGATACAATAAGGGGATATGCGATTTGGACATGTAATTGTCGGCAAAGGATTTAAGACTTCCGAAAAATGAAGCTGGCTTCAAGACTGTGGGTCTGTGTGAGCCTTCTCGTGGTAGCCTGGACCCTCCAGCCCGGAGCTTCTCAGTCAGGTGGGTCGCAGTCCCTCCTTCTCTATCGCTCTCTCTCCAGCTGTGGAACCTGCTGCTGTCTGGATGATTTGTGTTTGTGGTCTCCCTTCCCTCCCACTTCCCGCCTCTATTGATAGAACGTTTCCAGGCTAGAAGAAACGGATCTGAATTTATTTCATCGCCGCCCCCTGTATCACTGCCCTTCTTATTTCCACCTCCAACTTGCTTGGGTTTTTTCCCCTCCTTCTAGTGCGTGCGTGGAAATCACTGTTGTAACCCCTTTCTCCTCTGCCTCCCCCTCTTCTTTTTCGCTCAGTGGGTTAGCAGAGGGCTCAGTTCTTTTAGCCTGCTTGTCTAAGACATAGAACACGCACACGGAAAATCCCAATCCCCGCAGACAATTCTTTTTCCACCTCTCCTGTCTCCCCGTGCCCCCAGAAGAAAAGAAACAGAGTAATTAGGATTTTTGGCTATTCCGGGGCACGAAAAGGAAAAAGGATCAGAATGGCATACATTGCCTTGCTCCCTCGGTGGAGATCGCTGGCCTTTTGATTCCAAAGCGCCTCGTGTGCGCTTTTGTACCTGCGTGGGGGAGAGAAGCAGGAATAGGGCTCTGACACAAGTCACCAGAGTGTTGACATAGACAAGATTTCAGGCGTAGTCCGGATACAGTCCCACCGTACAGCTGCTACCAGAAAAGCATCCTTTGCAGACCTTAACATCAATCATGTCCCTGTTTTGACTAGAAGCTGTTCTAAAACTCACAATCTATTGAGATCTCCTTTCCTTTACAGCGTCTGATAGGGTCGAGGGGTGCCTGGTAGCGAGTCTAGCAGTTAAAGGGCTTGGCAAACTTTATTCGTGAGAATAACAGCCACACTCTGTGGGGTTAGACTCCCATCAGAGTTCCTCCTGCTAATGTCTACTATTGGCCGGGGTCCCTCAAACTTCGCGGTTAGCACTGGGGCTGGCCGGATAGCTCGCCCATCACTTGATCCTCTTTAATCCGAGGCGAAGCGGGCACCACTGCGCGCTAGCTGTTCGCTGGACTGCTTAGCCTCAGGTAGCAGGGCGCACGAATGTAACTGAACAGAAATGGAGGAGGGGTCGGAGAAAAGCTTAGTGGCAGGGTCTTTGACAGGACGTGTCGTGCGAGTGAGCTAAAAGTTTCTGACACTTGAGTTTCCCAGATGATAGGAATGGGAAGGGAGATGGATGATCGGAGGACTGAGTAGAGCCAAAAGGGGAAGAGCGATGTCTGAGATGGCCAGGGGGTGCCATTTGGACAGCCGGTGCTGTTTCCTGATCTGGCAGCAAGTGATCACACCAGAGATACTTGATGTAGCGTGGGAGTCTGGCTGACAAGATAAAGCCTCAGGGGTGGGAAGAAGGGGGAGGGGGTTAAGGAGAATGCTTTAGGGACGCCTACGGTGTCCTTGTGACCTTAAGGAGAAAAGGGCGCCGCTTAGTTTTTCTACTATCTACGCCAGCTTCCTCTTCTCCCTCTCCTCTCCCGCCTTCTTCTTCCCTCTTCTTCAAGTAAACACGAAGTTATCATCACTGGGGCTTTAAAAATGACCCTAGAATTCCTGGTCTTTGCTATTTAAATGCAATATCTATTACTGCCCATTCCTGCACGTAGGTCACCGCCTGAATCACCCCAACAGGGCTTGTAGCTTTCAAGGCAGCTCCTGACCACTTCCCCTTCGTTTTCGTGCCACGATCCTCTCCATATTTTCCTCAATGAGTTGATTATGCAGGTTGACCCATTCAAAAGCAGTTTGAGGCTGACATATATGCTTAGCTGATTGGAATTTCTATGAGGCAACCTAGTGGGGGTTTGTCTGGTTCAGTCTCAGCCATAGGGACCGCCTCTGAGTCTACAGCAATTTGGTATTAAGTGTGCGGCTCAGGGGTTGAGCTATTCCTCAAAGCTCTTTTCAGAATTTCTGTAAGGAATGTAATCCAAATTAGTTCTGCAGCTGTCCTCTTCCTCATCGCAGTGCACACCACTTCTCCCCCCCCCCACCCCCAGTCCCCCGCCTCACCCCCCTTCTCTGCTTCCCTGCCTTTGGCGAATTGTCATAACCCAAAGTGAGCCCTTACTGGAGTGTGAGGCTTTGCGTCCCATTGTTATTCGGGCTGCGACTATGCACTTGAAATTCTGGTGATACAAAGGCAAGAGACCCACTTGTTAAAAACACAAAGTGATCTAGATGAAAGAGCGGGACAAAGGAAAGCTGTTCCGTGTATCCCTCTTAATTGCAACGTGAATACTAAAGGTGATCCGGATGAAACCGCTACTGCCCTTGGATGCTGGTGGTGGTTGTTGTTTTGGTTTGGTTTGGTTTTTTTTTCCAGACCTGGGGGGAAAAGTTCAGCTGATCTTAGTGTACCATTACATAACCTAGTTATTGTCTAATCAGCGTGTATGTGTGTGTGTGTGTGTGTGTGTGTGTGTCTGCCCAAGTATATACATATTCAGCTGTCCCACCCCCAACCCCCAACCAATCCCGGTTAGCAGTCAGTAGCAGTTTGAAGGAGTTTGTTTTGGTCCAAATGAGAAATTAAGTGCGGATAAGTAAACTAAGCTGCCAGAGGGCGACAAGATGTTGAGTGAATTGCTTTTAGATGAAACAAATTAAGGAAACGAGGGAAGACAATCTGCTTCTCGCATTATTAGACACGCTTGGAGTTCAGGGGAAAGTGGCATATTTTTGAAATGCTAATTTCTTAAGAAGCAGAAGGAATGCACCTTATTTACTGGTCTATGTGAATGGAATAGAAATATTGCTCTTTTTTGATCGGTATACAGATCTTGAAAACATTTCCCCCATTAGATAACTGTAACTGAGTAAGATTTTTTTGTTGTTGTTATTGTAGTGGAAAAAAAGAAAATCTAAGTTGTAAACAGATAATTCCTCAGTATTTCTGTTCCTTTGTCACTCTCTCACTACTCCTGAAACATTACATTACAGGGCCATTTACATTTCAAGAATAAATCTTACACCACCCATGAAGACAATTCCAAAATTTACCTGCATTTTTCCTTTGAGGAAAACGAAAATGCTGCCTCAGTTATATTGAAAGAAAATAGATGATACTTGCCCTGGAGTGTCTAGGTAGCTTGAAAGATGATAACGAATAAATTCAAGGGGGATTTCCCTACTTTCTAGGACCTGGTGTTCGACTTAGTTCTGTTGTAGGTCTCTAGAAATTTTATCCTATAATGTTTCCTTCATTTTTGAAGTGTTTTGATAATATTGACATCTCATAAGCTTTGGTAGCTTTTACGTTAAGCAGAAGAAGTTTTCATTACACTTAGGTTGGGTAAGATAAAAGAAATTTGAAAATATACTTTCAAAAGGCATTATTTATCTAGTTCTTTCCGATGTGTGTTTATGACAAAGGCACCTCTTTGTATTCCCTCTTTGCAAATCTTATAGATTAATTTTTAATATACAGTGGCAATTTTAGTGAAAAATGTTGTTATTCACTGTTCTGATGATGAAGTGGATGGCTTTTGGACTTATAATATGACTCCTAACATATATTTTCCCAGATAGAAGTGTATGTATGTATGCATGTGCATACATGCATACATACATACACACATGCATATATATATGCAATATATAAATATCTTTTCTTCTAAATGTCAGTTGAAAATCAAAGTTTGTAGAATATGGAGTCACTTATTTATACACATTTATTTTGTTTGGAATCCTAAAATATAGCTTAATTTAAAATTATAATAACCTATTTACTTAATGAACATTTCTAACCATTTTATTTGAATACAATGTCTATATTTGCTATCTTAGAATTCTGGTTATTGTTATTGTTTGATAATGTTCACATTTCATTCATAAAGTAGGTTTAAACATTCTTCATTCACTCTCTCATTTTTAATAGAAATACTATTTATCATCTGTTGTATACATTCTGTCCCTCCATTACTCTTTAGTATCCCTTTATATGTTTTTTAATAATTTAATTTACACATGGAAGTATAGCTACAACTGAATTCTTTTCCTCCTTCAAAGTACATTCTTTCCTCAGGTTTTTCCTAACAACCTTCTACTTTGCCACTGCTGGAGCCCTCAAAGTCACTTTCCATTCTTCCTTTCTGATAGATCTGATATGGCTGGTTGACTGGACAATCTCAAAGCCATTCCATTGCCCAGATTTATTCCTGAAAGAAAATAAAAAGGCATCGATCCAGGGTCACTTGCACATCTCTGAAGCACTGACTCCAAGGCCAAATGTTTCCTTAAGGAAATCCCTAGCCTTCTTATTTCCTTGGCCAAAACAAAAAAAATGAAAGAAAAGAAAAGGAAGTGTAATAATGCACTCTCTAAAAGTGCAAGGGGCAGAAAAAGCTATCTTAATTTTAAATGTTTCTGAGGTTTGAGAATTTTTATTTCAGTATTGGTTGCCTTTGTGAGATGACCACAGTGTGTCATAAACTGGATTTGAGTGCACCGTGCATACAATACTCACAAAGTGGTATCTTTTTCATCATTTGGAGTCGGTGATTGGGAAAAAGTCAAGTGTAGATTCAGAAGAAATAGGATCCTTTTTTATTTTATTTCCATTTTCTAATCCCTTTTTTGATGTGTCTGTGAAATTTCTAAGTACCTGAAATTGAGCTGAGACATATCATCAAAAATAATGTTCTATGTCATGGAAACTCATAGAAACTTTCTCTACCAGCTAATTATCTGAAAACTGTTGGTCACTGATCTTACTGTTTTGAGAGATGCTGTAAAGCAGAACTGCTAATATTCACAATAAAATTAGCCTACATTGTTTCAAGCCTACAGTTGTGCAGAATTAATTATATCAAGTATTTCCCCCCATTATCTCTCATACTGATCTGCTCAGCATATTATGCAGAAGAGGGCTTTCTCACTGACTTTTCTTCAGGTTTTATCAGATAGCCTCAAAGAAACCCACTTATGCTACCTCACTGCTGATTCTGTTATTTAATGCTTACTTTCTGAAATATCTTATATCTA